TCACGCACGAGCTGTTCTTTCGACTCCATTTCCGCGAGTTTTGATCACAGGACTTTAAAACTTGCAAGGATGTAAATAATGCACTATGAACTAAATCCACCCAAATTTTCATTAAATTCTACCCAACGGTTAAAAAGTTAGAGCAATTTCATAGTGTGGCAATTTCATCGTGGACACCCTTTAGAGCTCCACAATTGACAGGTACTCGGGTTCAACTTAGGTAGCCGGCACTTCCGACTGTCTTGTTTACAACCTCCTGCGAGCCAGCTCTATGCGCATCGATGTAATTGTGTCCGTAAAGTATGGTTATTTTGGATATACATATCACATTAAAATCACGCTTCAACAAATTACTGGAAAAACTTCATGGAAAATCTTGCCAAACTACACAGTATAACTTTAGCCGCTATATTCATAGTCTGGCGGATATAATTTCGATCTATCAAAAAGCGGCACCAATTCTTTTATACGGGCTCTACCCAAAAATTAGACAGCCATCTTACGTCACCCTTTCTACGTGGTGGACCCGCGAGGTGCATGTGCAGGCCCGGCTTACATTGGTAGCTAAACGGGAAAAGTAGCCTATCCGATCTGCTGTGCGACTATCGACGAAGCTGTTTCATTTCGTCACGTGGTGGCTGTGTAGCAGAAACAGAGTATGCGAAGGGGGGCTTCCCTCTAAGAGACGATCCGGTAGAGTTTCGGAACTCCCACCGACGCCCTTTCCCGCATATTTAATTCGGCCATTTTGCACGGGCGCACTACTCACAGACGCCGGTTGGTGAAAACTGCCTGTACACCTAGGGGAAAGACAGCTCCTAATCATGAGCAATTTCTGAGTTGCTTTTGATGCACCTCGAGTAACTCACATTGCTCAGTAAAAAATGCTAACTGTCATTTGCTTTCTCACTTTTCGCATCACAGCAACATATGAAGGTGCACCTTCATGCGAAGCCGAAAAGCTGCTGTCAATCAAAACAACAATAAAATGAAAAAAATGTTTACAGAACTCAATAACTCAGCAAAACTCGGAGACACTTAAATTGATTGATTTGATTATCCTGCATCATCTCTGCTTAATAACCTTCGCACAACCCTTACCAACTGTGAACGTGAACGGAGCCTATTGCTGCATAGCTGCCTTACACTTACCAAGGGCAGAATGCTTGTCCGGTTTGATATGGTGGAACTCGATCTGCCTGACCAAATACTCAAAATCCGGCAAATTACGTACCCCGCACGTGCTACAATACTCGTCGAAGCAATCCCGTTCCAATGACCTGGCAAACTGCCGCTGGATGAAACTGCGAACTGAGCTCTGAATTACCACTGTGCCGTTCTTCTGACGGTGGACATCCATCTTTCCTCTTTTGAAGCTTCTGCTGTGCCTTCCGGATGTTCGTGATACGGTCCCGTCTCTGCGATACACCACCGTGATTGTACTGCGGCCGTCAACGGCAGTCTCCTTTAAAGTAGAACATCACTACATACGTGTGTTCTTCGGTTTCTCCGTTGGCTAAGTCCATAGCGGCCCAGGTGTGGAATTCATTGTTCATCTCCATCTATTTTATAAACAGCGCTGACGATATCGAGTGATTGGTAGCGATCTTGTGAACTTGATCACGTCTCATGACGATCCTGTACTTGGTCTTAACATGGCCGTGGGAATGCAAAGAGAAAGTTGACGAAGATAATCTGTCAGTTTGATTTGTTCTTCGTCTTCCTGACCGGTTTTCACTTCGCTTTCGTCCGGTTTATCGGAAACATTGGTAGCGGTTACTCCAACGTCCTCCTCCTCTTCGGTTTCGGAAATGACGGCGGCTGCTCTGGCTGAACATTCCGCGGGGGTAATAGTTGGTAGCGTTGCCGTCGGAGCTGGAATTGGGTGTTTATCGGTTGTTGCCCCACCGGGGAGATGTTTTCTAGATCGGAAACTGTAGTGGTGGATTTTATTGGAGGGGCCACGGTTGGAATATTGCTCACCACACTATGTTTGATGTGCTGTGATGGAATCTTCACGCTGTAGCTAACTTGCATGGTGCTAATGAGAAGGGGATCTGAGTTAGTTATTATCATTTTCATAGGACTGCTGTTACGACTACTGGATCAATCGATGCTGATGGGATCGTTGCATTATAGGTGAAATTCCAGATGTTTAGAAGCATAGCTGTTTGAAGAGCTTGTTTGATCAGCGATGATCCTTTTGAAGTGACTACTGGGACTGGCTCGGGGACTGGCTGCTGAGGAGGAAGAACAACTGCCCAAAGCTGGCTAGAACTAAAAGTTCTTGCTAGTAGTAAGCCGGCACCAACACAGCCCTAGCAGCACACATGTCTCTGAACAATTGTGGTTACTTGTGTGCTACTTACTTATTCCAGTTAAGTTGCAGCAGCTTATTTCGATCGAAGTGTGCTGCTTGGGAGGTTCTTCCATAATATCCAAGTTATTCAAAAGCATCAGGATACACTTGGGCTTACTTTGTTTACAAACAAAACTGACGTCTAATATGAGAAGCATATTCATAAAGTGTGTAAACGAAGTAAGCAGAGAAAAAAAAATCGATGAACGTCGATTAAATATTGAGGTACATTGAGCTACTTGCGAGCAACTCGCTGCAAAAAAGCAACTCAGAGTAAACCTGTCTCACCCCTTGCTGTACACCACGGCGACCGTAAAACATCGCACGCTGTTTGTGTACCCCTCGACCGTAGTCACCGGAGCAACAGAAAATCCTGCATAGGTATGATAATCATGGCCATCAACACACACACACTACAATACTTAGACTACCAGCCAATGAATTTAAGAAAGAGAATAATACATAGGGGAAACAGCCCCATTGTTGCGGTACGTTAGCAGCGTTAGAAGCCTATTGTTGTGTATGGAGGTCTCAACACAACACAACAATAGGCTTCTAACGCTGCTAACGTACCGCAACAATAGGGCAGTTTCCCCTAAATGAATTCAGACTATCCGTTACGTTTATCTTCATTTGCTAAAACCAGAGCCCTGTCAATCCTTTAAATTTGTCGAACCTCTTAACGGAATCCTTTTATGAAGAGCTTTGAGTGGGTTGGTTTATTTTCTTTAAATTCCGTTATAATTCTTATCTTTTGACAGATACGCGTATTTCGTATACTACTTGCATACTTCATCAGTGGTGTTGAGTACTTGGCACTGATGAAGTCTGCAAGTAGTAGACGAAATACACGTATCTGTCAAAAGATAAGCAATAAAGTTATTTAAAGGAAATAAACCAACCCACTGAAAGCTCTTCAGAGCCCTGTATTAATTACAGTCCACCCAGGTCTACCCTTGCGTTACGTTTCACCTTGCTTTGATCCAGAGTTTACTTAGCACACATCCACAATGCTCTATTCGGAAAGTATTCCGTCTTCTTGATCGGTCATATTATTTGTTAAAATTTAGCTGCGTTCGTAATCCAGTACCGTTCGGAGATTCCCCTTTGAGAACGTCGCTCATGCTTAAAAAAGCAAACTTAAAAGAAACGACCAGTGGTCTCTCGAATCCGAGAGTGACGCATAAGCCACTGTGTTTGCAACATCTCACTTAGAGCATTCGACGGACGGTTACTAAACTTTCTTAGCGGATCATAACCAACATAGTGTAGTACTAGATTTTCGACTACAATGGGGTACGTTAATCGATTTACTTGGGACCGATAGGCTGGTCCACCGGTTGATAATACTACTAAAAGCTGTAAGCTTCATGTTAGCAGACTAATTATGCATTAATTTTACTAAAAAGTTTCAATAATTGACAAAATTCCCTATTCATATTTGTATCATGTTTAATCAGTTTAATCAAAAATCGTTAGTTTTCACCCGTTGGAAATACTATAAACACAGAGAAGTAGCATTGATCGATAATCTTCATTGACTTTCTTTTACTTTCATAATCTGAGTACTGGACTGTTTTTGTCGTGTTTTTCGTTTAAAATGTTAGATGATCGCCCGAACCGTATTTTCCATACATTTTTTTTATATATGGAATATATGGTTCGATGTAAACACGAATATAATCCGTCAAAGTTAAACAAGAAGATAATCCGTCAAAGTTTCTTAGGACCTAATGCATTATTCATTTGTTCAGCTTGATTTAGGATTTTTTTAACGATGTTATTTGAGGTAATTTTGGCTTTACAACATCTGTATTCTATATTGGTTTAAAAACCTCCGGTGAATTTAAATCAGCTATGATAAAAGCAAGCTAAATTAAAATCCAAAATATATAAAATGACATGAGATTCGCGTATCTTCCCATTTTCCGCTCATAGCTCCCCGCAAACGTATCGCGCCAATCGAACATTCAAGGAGACAGTGTGTAGAATTCGATTAAGTTCAATTAAAATGCAGTCTACTCATTGTGTCGCGTACGATACAGAATAAGTAAACGGGTGAGACACAGCACGAGTACACAAATGGGAGCAATGAATTATGGCAGGTTCAAAGATTAAACAAACTGTTTAGCCTCACCGCAATAGAGCGCTTCCATTGGTCTGTCTAACTAGTTGAATTTTATAGCTATTCAAACGCACGGCATGAGGCCGCCGTGGTCTCTCACCGGGGGAGGCAGTTTCCGTGCTGCAATAAATTGAATTAAACTACCTACCGTCCGATGCACTTGCACCACGCTTATCGATTGTTTGGCTCATCAGCAGGTCTTATCAGTTTCGATAGAGATAGGGGAGAACAGTACATAACGCACCCCCGGGGTAAGACGCACTTTTTCATTTTATTTTGAGTTTTTCTTGGAATTTTTAATCCAATTCAAGGATTTATCATGCAGGATTTTGAGTTCAGATGCTACGCTAGAAGTGCTGCTTGATAAGACAACAAAAAAGTTACGTAAAAGCCATGAAAAACACAAATGAAAGTCAGCTGGTGCGTTCTGCCCAGGGGGTGCGTTTTATACCATTCTCCCCTACACGTATGCTACCGGAGCGCACTAATATGTTTACTTATTTTCCATGTTTACAGGGAATTCAAAACGTTTCGTCTGAAAAAGAAACGATCGTCATCGTTGGGTATCAATAAGACGTCAGAAAGTCCGCCACCACTACGACGAGAAGACGCCGACTCGCACTACAACACCATCAGCAATGCATCGGCCTACCGGAACACAATCAACACCATGGGCTCTGGGTATTCGCAGTCCACCACTACCACGCCACAATTTCAACGGAACTCGCGTTATCGCAGCTCAATGCAGGACCAATCAAAGGTAGGATTGATTTGAACTTAATCTTTATTTTTAATGCTGATAAAGCACACCACAGAGGATATTTTCGGGCTTCATGAATGGACAATACTATGGTAAAATTTACAGTATATTTTGGTCTTAATCTCAAACTCATTCATTCAATCCTCCTGTCGACCAGCCGTCTATCGATGAACTGTCATAAATCTCATTCTTTTTAGTTTTCTTCTTCCTGACTTTGACGCTCTTAAACTAGCTTATGTACAGTTCTGCAAAATACCAATATTAATACCACAAACGAAGTGACAGACGACTAACTGGCGAAGAAATCCATTTAAATAGTGTGGTTCACTGTAATAGAATTTCATTGGAAGCTTGTGTCATCATCCACCAGATGGGTTAGTTTTTTTGTTTTGATTTGAACAAAGTTGATTTTGTGTACAATGATTCTTTGACAGTGTGCAAAGAGTGCGTATCATTTTGTTATTTTTTTATGCATTTCAGTTTTGAGTAGAGTGAAAGAGATAGAACCAAAACATTCTAGTACATTTGGTGAAAATGCTAGTTCAATCTAGTAGTAGTGTTGCCATATGGTACAATCCAGTAGTAGTGGTGTTGCCATGTGGTTCACTGAAAAATTGCAATAGCAGCCCGAAAAAAAATAACAACAAAAATACATTAAAAAACAATGTAACAATAAGACGAAAATTATTGTCTTAACAATGATTTATATTGTTACGTCTACAATAAATTTACCTTGATTTATGTTGTACAAAACAATAAATTTCATGGTAAATGGAAAATTTACAATAAAAAAGGGGGGTTGTTAAGTATCTTAACAATGAAATTTTCGTGATTTTCCCATATAATTTTTTTTCAATAACATTATATATTATTGTTATTTTACTGTTGGTTGGTGAATTTATTGATTAAAAAAAATAACAGTGTACTTTAGAGTGTATGTGTTGGCTTGACAGATCTACTTTATCGACTTTAAAAATAAATCGAAAAAATAAAACATTACCCCGGGAAGGGAAGGGGGTGGTATGTCTGTTACGGGTTGTCCTTTTTTTACTGGTTATGGATCGAGATTCGATCCGGAACTTGTGAGAAATGCAGGCCAACTCCCCTGCGCTCGATATCTCTAGGTCACGTCTCCTTGATGGTTGAGCGTCGTTGATAAGTTAATGCATTCGACTGGAGAGAATCGCCCATGAAATATGCTTCCACCTGAGAGTTCCTTCCTGACATCTTCAAGTGGTGGAATTTTTTATTATTATTGTATGATTATTGACTGCACGGAAAAGGTCTCCATTAAGCTTTAGAGAGGGTCTAGGATAAGATATGAGCGGACGCGGACTGCCTGGTTTTGAGCCAAACGAACTGTCAAAGCCAGAGCCATACGAGCAGCACCTATCTTGATTACATTGGCAGTGTTGCTGACCTGCTTCAATCAGATTTATTTTTATTGTTCGTGAAGTAACCCACAATGAAAATACACCAATATTTAATGTAACAACAATTTTTATTGTAATAGAGTTGTTCATTATTGTTCATGATCGAATCATGTTAACAATAAAATAAATGAAAAAACGTTAAAAATCATTGTAACAACATTTTATTATGTACATTTATTGTACAGCTAGGTAGCAGTTTTGCCGTTTTTGGAAGAGTACAACATTATAACAATCATTTTTATTGTCGACAATAAATATTAATGTTAGAGCATTGTTTCCACTGAAAATTTCACTGTAATTTTTTTTTCGGGAGGTTAGTCACCAAAGTTTTCGAGCCGCTCCGTCTGTCACTTCGTTTGTGTTAATACCACTGATATTCAAAGTTCTGCAGCATTTTTTCTTATATACGCCAGCTAATCGAGTACCGGTCTGTAGAAAACTCATAAGTACTATAAAAACAATGTAACGGCTGTACAAAAGAGTTGATTTATTGAGATAAAAGTAAGATGTTCAACTTTTCCCTAGTGACATTCATATGGATAGTAATGTCAAAGCGGTACCGTCTGATATCATGCTTACTACGAATATCAGTGTCGGAAGCGAAATTCAGTGCTGTGTGTGTGTGTACAATCTAACCCCCACTGTCCGGCAGTGTTATTATGGAAGAAAACTGCTTTTTATTACCCTTAAATTAAAGCAGGTTTAGTCCGGGAGTTAGAAGGTGTTAGCTCTATTGCAGCTCCAGTGACCCATTTCAGAATGCCTGGTAATTCACGACCACTCCGAGGTCACTTTTACTTACAATAAGCCCCGCATGTTCACTCTACCTTTATCAAATGGATAATGGTATCATAAACACACTTCCAGATTCAAAAAATATTATTTCCAAATCTGGCACGTATATAGTTTTGAAATTTGTTCAACTGCATTAAATCGATTTGAATGGACATTTCTTACCAATTTTGTTTCGAATACCTCTTGATTCATCTGCTGGTAGCACTTACTAGCCCTTACCGGTGACCAACTCGCTTGATTCACTCCATCTTGATGACCTTCTGTTTGCCTATCAGCCTCTTCCAATTTTCGTCCTTCAGATACAAATCCGGGATAAGATCATTTTTTACACAATCAATTTTAGAGTTTTTTTAATTCTCAAATTTGATAAAATCCATAAAAACACAGAGACTTTTTTTTAGCAAAATCAAAACACGTCATTTCAATCGCGCGGCCTACTTCCTCCAATCATAAGAACCCATATTTGGATTTAAAAAATTACCCATCTCTTTGTACCGTCTGGGTAAACTGATCTTAGCGTGTATATAGGAGGGAGGGAGACCTGGGAGGGAGACACAGACTCGAAACATTTTAATGTCAAAACGAACCAAATGCAAGCTGTCACGAACTGTCACCATGAACCTTTACCTTTCTTAGAGTCGGACAAGAATTCATAAACCGGTATTGACATTTAGTCACATATAGACATATAGTAACGTGCATCAAATCTTATAAATTTTTGAAAGCTGATTGACCATATATGCAATGGTTATTTGTATAATTTTGAGCTTGATTGGCTGAGGTTGTTTGAAGTTTGACTGGTTTTAGTAAAACGCTTCCCATTCTTCCTCCATTTTCAAATTGTTATTTCTTGAAGAAACATGAACGAAATGAAATTCTATTATTTTATATTTTTAGTTGAAACATTACCATACAAGTTGGTAAAAAAGTTGTTGAAATCTATTCACGAGGAAAAAAGTTAAAAATTTCAAAGGAAGTTTTCAATTTTATTCAGTGAATAAAACCAAATGTATACTCGAATGTATATGAAAAGATCAAAATCTTTGGAGGCATAATGAAATGCAAAACAGAAAAAAACAGACTGAATCAAGGTAATTAGAGAGGGAGGTAATACAATCTGTCAGAAATTATGCATTCTGCCATAATGGCTACACGCTAAGATGCACATCCCGGATAAAACATGTGATAAAATTTATGGTTCAAATTATAACCGTTTTATAAACGTTATGGTTAACAATAAATTTAATTGTACATTTACAGTACCGTGAAACTTTTAAAAACTTCACATTTTGTTACAAAAAGATGTTATGTCTTTTCATTTTATAGTCATATGCAACGAGTACACAGAGTTTTTTGAAGCGAATAAAAATTTAACTCATACCATAAATGTACAATAGGTTTTATGGCAATGCAATAAAATTTAAAGTAAACCAAAATTAAAACAATATAAAATATATCAATAGAGAAAGAATAAAAACATTACAACATAGTACAACACTAATACAAAAATAATAAACACTCACACTTAATCACGGATTTCTTGTTCGGAAATTTTTTTACAGGTTTATAACTGTAAATCACAAAAACTACTGAACATTCAGCTATTCTCAACCAAACTACTGATGTTCAGTAGTTTTTGCGAGAAACTACTCAATGTGGTAATAGTAAATACTGAATTGACAGTAAAATAACAGATTTACGGGAAATTACTAAAACTCAGTAAAATAGAAAACCGAGTTTTCAGTACTCATTATGTTTTACTGAAACAGTCATCAAACGAAATTCCAAAATTACTGATCACACCAGTAAATTGGATTCCTTTACGTCATCCTCCTCCGTTCCACCTCGCGCACTTGACATCAGAAGTTTTTGTGTGAAAACAGAACATGTTTGTGAAAATTAGTGGACGACTGGAAGGCAACGCAAGAGTTCAGAAACATTCATGGAATTGGACAGTTTCTGCACTCCTGCATCGACTTCCGGATGTTCCATTGACTTTGAAGCAAACATTTTCAATTGTGAGCCTCAGACTATAAGGCAGACAATCTGGCACTAAAAAAGCAACCAGCTGGCCGAACCACGAGGAAACGTTGAGCACACAAGCTGGACTATAGCTCAGGATTAGTTTAAACAGTATTATTGCTATTCCACCTCTAAACAAACTCCCCTAAATTGTAAAAAATCCGAAATATTTTATTTATTACTCATTAATATTTATTCAATAAAATACTGAAATAAAAGAACTGAAAAACTCAGCAAAAAAAGTAAACAAATAATGTACTGAAAAAGTCAGCAATTATTTTACTGACTAAAACGGTATTTTTTGACATTGCAGGGATTTTTCCATTTACCGAGTTTTCAGTTAAAGAAAAAACTACTGAGTTGATTACTGAAAACTCAGCTGTTTAAAAACCCAGTAAAATATTACCGACTTCGGTAAACTAAACTCTGTGTGCTTGAAAACTATTGATTTTCAAGTCTTAATGCATGTCTGCAGGTAGATATCATCACTACACGTCTAAGCCCTCATCTACTAGTAAGTACAGGTGGAGTAGTGGTAGAGGACTCAAAATACAAAAATAAAATGGAATTTAAAGTTCCTTGGTTCGAGTCTCCAATATGCCAAATTTATTTTAAAAAATGGTAATGACCGCTGTAAACAAATTTACTACCAGCTCACACTACGTGATCTTGAACTACGTGATCGGTATGCTGCAGAAATTGACAAAAAAATCGCTTCTGGATTCTTCGAAAAAGCAGACTATTCCGAGT